GGAGGCGTCCCGCAGCCCCGCCTGCCCCGCCCCGGGAGACAAAGATGTGGGGAAAGACTCTCGGACTTAACGGGGGGACGCTGGCCTCCCTTCTCGCGCGCACACGCACCTAGTTCTTTGGGACAGGTCGTTTTCTCCAAAAAAGTTCAAGTCCAAGCGCCGTGGTGACGGAATGAAGGCCGGAAACAGCCTTTTGTGCACCAGCGCCCCCCGGCTCCGGCCCACGCTCGGCAGCTCATTGCACCCCAAAGGCCCCCTCCCCAGCCCACGCCCGGCGCCCCTCTGCGCCCGCCTCTTCGCCACCCGCCTTCCCCACTCCAGACCACGCCGGGCAAGCGTTTAAGGAAAACCTGAACAGAGAGAGCCCAAAGATGACTGGTTAAAGACGACTAATCCTCGGGGGCTTCGGGGAAGTTCAGGTGTACCCCGCTGAGGAATCTGCATTTTACTACCTGGGACCAGTCTGTGCAGTAACGGGGATCCTCTCAAGGTTGTCGCAGACAGAGGCCAGGGCAAGGCTGAGAAGAGCGTGGGACTGACGCAGGGCACCTGGCCTGCTCTGCAAAGCGTCAGAGTTAGGGGAGAGAGAAAACATCATTCACACGGAAGAGTACCTGAGGACAAATAAGTGTCCAATACATGTTTGTTAAGTCGGGAACTTCCCAACATGGACAACTAACAAGTGGTGGAAAAAGTAAAACCATTGGTAGTCTAATCTCATGGCTTTCAAGGGGGTTTTTTGTTTGGGTTTTTTTACAAAATACATATTACAACACATGCCATCCTATATCATTGAAACTAAAGTTTCATAAAATCGTACTTCCTTTACCAAATGCAATGTACTTATCTCAGTTAATTTCATGAACTGATTAATGGCTGATTCAATTCAAAACTTGAATGATCCATATCGAATCTCAGTTATATTTCACCAAGTTCTTTAAGAGTCTGTGCTCTCTTTTTGATATATGAGTTTCCTGTTTCCTGCATGATAAAATCCTGAAAACTGTCCCAAATCTTCCTGGAGTAAGGGAGCATATTATTTATAAATAAACGCCCTGCTCTTATTAACCATGTGGTACCTAAAGGGCCAGAAAAAGAGCACACAGACAACCCAAGGAGTAGCCCCACTGAAGGAAGTTCACATTCTGGGACACACTGATGCTCCTCAAAACTACATCCCTAAGTAACCATTCCAGAGCCATCATTTCATTAGATAGGAGGTGGGGAGGGTCTAACACATGGTTTGGTTCTTGTCATGAGTTGAGAGGAGTGAAACAATTGAAGAAGAGTAGAATAAAAGACAGTATTTTAAAAGTTCAGCTACTTCCAGGAAAAGAAAAGAATCTAGCTCTCACTGTGTACACAAGTGTCAGGCACTGTCCTTGTTCCTTCATATATAAAATCTCACTTAATTCTCACAATAGCCATGTGGATGTCAGTGCTACCACTTTAAAAAGATAAGGAAACTGAAGCTCAAAGAGACTGAGAAACATTCTTGAGGGGATGGGGAAACAGGGCGACATTGGTCAAAGGGTACAGACTTCCAGTTATAAAATGATTAAGTTCAGGAAATCTAATGTGCAGCATGGTGGTTATAGTTAACCGTATTATGAGAGAGTAGATCTTCAGTGTTCTCACCGCAAAAAAGAAATAGTGACAATGCGAGGTGATGGAAGAGTTAGCTAAAGCTTGGATGACAATCATTTCACTATATACGTGTATCAAATCAGCACAATGTTACATGTCAATCATCTCAATAAAGCTGGGGGGAAAAATTATGTTAATTGGAATAATAGCATCACAATAAAGATGAAATAAATAAATAAAAAGAGAAAAGACACTTGCCTGAAATGGTAAAATAGTACTTGTTTATGGCTCAAACAACCCATAATCAGATACTTTGGTGAAACCCGTTTGTAAAATGACAGAATGCTAAACAAATGCCGATTGTTATCCTTTTCACTATTATAGGAGGTCTGTAAGAGGGGCCCAGGATCCGACTGTTTCTGTTGCCTTACAAGGAAACGATACTGGAAGCTATCCCCAGGAGACAGAGCCATTGCCCTGTTAAGTATGAACTCTCAGTATTGAGTTTCTTTTCAATACAATTTTCTCTAGGCCAGGTGGTTTAGTGCAAGTTGTTAGTATTGTCTTTCCCAAGATGGGAAGGGCTGTCCTTGAAAGCGATGAGGAGAGAGTTCTACAGCTGTATCGGTATTCCCAAACACATAATGGAAAAAAGTCACACGTTTGTCAGGAAAAGATTTCCTAGGAAACAATCAAATGACAAATACCTTTGCTCTTGGTTGAAATAATGGTAAGAGGATAATAATCATTCTATGCTGATGATAAACTCTGTTTGGCAGTTAGAGATGTTCTTGACCTATTGCTATTGCTTACTAAACACAGCAGCTTTCTTTTTGGTAGACAGTGTCCATCATATGAAATCCATGGGGAAAATGGATAAATGTTTGCCCCTCTGCCTACTTTTATTACTCTGCTTCTTTGTTTGTCAGCTCAGAGGCATATCTTTCTCATGAAGATTTTCCTAACCCACCTCTCCTCCATCTCACACAGACCCTTCCTGTCATCTCTGTATTCTTCAATGTGTCCGAAATACACTATAGAAGATTGCTACTGAACAGAAAGTGTTCCTCCACCTGGATCTAGCAGAGCCAAACACCGAACACGAAGAATTGTGGAGAAATATTGGCTATTATATTATGAATGGTGCCACTCAAGGAAGCTGGAAGCTAATGCTCCAAAGCCCAAACTCCCAGATGGATGGCATATAGGTTACAGATTGTATAGGGCAAAATCACAGGCCACCGTGGGTTAGGGGTTTCAGGGTCATGCTGGGAGCTGACTGGTCGGAGGTGAAGTAAAAGAGTAATAATCATTTCTTCAGGTCTTGAGAACAATTCTGAAGTCTTTTCTGGGTCCCTCTGTCCTGTCTCATGAGAAAGTAGCCAGGGCTCAGTAGTTGAAACATAACTTAGGCCAAGATGCTATCTTTAGCCTGCCAGTGGTTTGAACCTAATGACCATTAGTCAGATACTGGCTGTTGTCTTCTGCTGGGGATGGGGTGTGGAGTAGTTGCCAGTTATCCAGGGAAAGGCTAGATCTCTGAGGAATATATATATACACATATACATATATATACTCACATACATATATATATATTGAGAGAGAGAGGCTTAATTTCTAGACCTAAGAGTTAAAGCTAAATTTAAAGTCAAAAGACCTTCCCTCAGTTTTATGATCATCACTGCATTTTCCACATAATTTAATTGTATGTATATGTGCGTCTACTTCCCCTCATCAACTGATCTCCTCAAAGACAAGGATCCCATCCTATTCAGTTTTAATCCAGGACTTAGAACAAAGATGGCTACATAGCAGGAGCTTACAGAATGTCTATTAAATGAATGAATGGTAGTTAACTATATTGCCCCTCACTCTGCACCTCTCAAACTTCAGTTTCTCAAGTGTAACTTTCCGGTAATGTAAGAAAAGTTTCTGCTCAGCTTGATAACAACTAACTGGCAGAAAAGGACACATGGGACAAGGCCCCCTTGATATAGTGTCACCTACAGCACAGGTCACAGGCTATGCATTTGAGACAAGTGGGGACATATTAGTTTCCTGCAGCCACAGTAACTAATTATCCCTGAGTGGCTTAAAACAACAAAAATGTATTCTCTCTCAGTTCCAGAGGCCAGAAGCCTAAAATCAGACTACTAGGTGAAAATCAAGGTGCTGACAGGGCCACACTCCCCCCCCCCCCC